AAAAAAAAAAAAGAAAAAAAAACAAAGCTTTGCAGATAGGATGTTTGGGGTATCAAGGAGGTTATCCCAAGGGTTGGGGTTTGAGCAAAAGGTTTGTGTGCTGAAGTCACAAAAGGGACACCTCCCCCCACTCAGGTTATACACTAACCCTGGGCTCAGATGTCAGCTCTGAAGAAAAGTCATTGACTTGGATATGTATTTTGGGGTCTAAATACATGGACCCCAACTGCTCGGTTTAGACTGCTAGGTTTTTGGTTGGAGGGCCTGGCTGGGAGGTTGGAGATTTCATGGAGATGAGGAAACAGGTGGGATGCTTGCTGTTCTCTGCTTCCAACTGTCCACTCGTGTTTGTACCCCCGATGGCCCCTGCAGAGCCCCTAACAGAGCGGGTGGGGCTCTGGGAAGAGCGACAGATTGTCTGTCTCCCACTGCAGACCTGGATCCCCTGGAGCTCAGCGAGGGGAAGGAACTTTTCTTACCCCTGAACAGCAGTGCAACCGTGAACTGCTCCGTGCAAGGCCTGCCCACCCCTGCACTACGCTGGACCAAGGTGAGAGGGAAAGGAGCCCCCTCGGGCCCTGCACCCGCACCCTCTGCTCTCCGCTCGCTCCTGGGCCTCTCACCACATCCTCCTCCTCCTCTGCCCTCCCCAGGACTCCGTTCCCTTGAGCGATGGCCCCATGCTATCACTCAGTTCCATCACCTTCGATTCCAATGGCACCTATGTATGCGAGGCCTCCCTGCCCACAGTTCCCGTCCTCAGCCGCACCCGGAACTTCACGCTGCTGGTCCAAGGTTCAGGAGGCGGGAAGGGGGTGGGCTTGGATGGGGACAGTGCGGGACGTGGGGCCTGGACAAACAGGACATGTCCCTGTGCCCCTGGCCGGGGCTTCTGTCTTCTGCTCAGTTCCTCTCTTCTCTCTCCCTCCTCTCCCTTCACTTTCTATCCATCCCACCAACCACAGGCTCGCCAGAGCTAAAGGCAGCGGATACGGAGCCCAAGGCAGATGGCAGCTGGAGGGAAGGAGACGAGGTCACGCTCATCTGTTCCGCCCGCGGCCATCCAGAGCCCAAACTCACCTGGAGCCAGCTTGGGGGCAGCGTAAGGGACCTTCCTCTCCCTCAGACCCTGAACCTCCCCTCAGTCACCCACGCATCACATCCTCCTCTCCACTTCCGGGGGACTGGAAGTCACCTCTGCCCTCACCCCCAGCCCTTGACCCCACGGTCTGGGGCCTGATTGGAGCCTCCACAGCCCGCAGAGCGGGTCCCCGGAAGGCAGGGCTGGGTGAGCAGCTCTCTGACCCTGAAAGTGACCAGTGCCCTGAGCCGTGACGGCATCTCCTGTGAGGCCTCCAACCCCCACGGGAACGCGCGCCACGTCTTCCACTTCGGCACCGGTGAGTGACTGAGGTGGTGGTGGAGGAGCCGGGCATGGGGCAGACAGGGCCCGCTGCCTGACCCCTGCCTCTCTCCACCCTGTCCCTGCAGTGAGCCCCCAGACCTCCCAGGCTGGCGTGGCCGTCATGGCCGTGGCCGTCAGCGTGGGCCTCCTGCTCCTCGTCGTCGCTGTCTTCTACTGCATGAGACGCAAAGGAGGCCCCGGCTGCCGCTGCCGGCGAGAGAAGGGAGCTCCGTGAGTGGCTTCCTGTCTGCAGTGACCACATAGCCTAACCCATCCCCAACCTCAATCCCAAGCTCAACTCATAACCCACCTCAACCACATCTATCCTCTATCCCGGAGCCCACCACATCCACCCCCATCCGAAACCCATCCTCATCCCCATTCCAATACCCAACCCATCCTCATCCCCACCCCATCCTCATCCCCACCCCCATCCTCATCCCCACCCCCATCC